GGGCCTGATCTGGTAGCCATGCTCACTGGCTACCTAACTATACAAAACAGCTGGCAGAGGGAGGACCTCCCTTATAAGCTTTAGCCTAAGGGTTAGAGCATTCTCTCAGGATGTGGGAGACCACTGGTTCAGATTGCCCCTTTGCTTGATAGGAAGGGATTTGAACAGGGATCTGCCACCTCTCAGGGGTGTGCCCCAGCCACTGGGCTACAGAGTCATTCTCACTTACTCTGGCCCAATTAATACTTAGTTACGCAATTATTGAGTAGGAGAGTTAGGGAGCCCTACATTGGAATATTCCATAGTGCAATGACTCAGCCACTCAGCTAAGAGTTGTGGGGAGGTCCCTGTTCAAATCTCTTCTCCGCATGCAAAGGGAGAACTAGAAAGTGGTCTCCCACATCCTGAGTGAGTGCTGTAACCACTGCACTAAAGGTGACAAGGGAGATACTCCCCACCCCATTTTGGGTGGAGCTGGGCAGCTTCTGAGCTTGCCTACTGGATCAGGCCCCACACACAACTTAGGCGAAGAAGCACCTATCTTTCCTCTGCGATCCTTGTGCATCACTCTGGAGCTTAGGCTGCCGTTGGTGCCCGGACACCTAGAGCAAGGCAGAAGTGTGCATGTCCAGAGGCAGAAACAGACACCTAGGGAACTTCTACCGCAAAAACCTAGGTGCCAAATGAGTTTAAGTGCCTACAGGGTTGAACATAGCCAAGCAAGGATTTTGTGGATCACAGTGGTGCCTAAAAATGGGGATTAGGCGCCTAAGTATCATTGTGGATCTGGGCCTTGATTCCTATGTTACACCACCAGTTCTTCTTTCGCCTGCACTTGCCCACCAAATAATACAGATATCTCCATCCTACTCTCCCTCCAGGGACCAACCTTTTCCTTAACTCACTCTTTCTATTACAAGAATCTGCATTTCTTTCATTCACCCTATTTTTACCTGTGTTCAGTTATGCCTTACACCACAGAGTAATTGCAGACTAATAAGTATATTTAATCAGCCACAATTGACATCTAATTACAATTAAACTTAATTATTCTAGTTGGGTATACACATCATTATTGGACTTTGCAAAGGTTAACCCTGAGCAGCCCAGATATTTTTATTATTGCTCACTTTCTCCAGTAACTACCCATACTCATTCTTACTTATCAACCAACAACCACCTTTTTGGCCTTCTTCATGGCCTCTAGGGTTAACTTCTTATGGGATCCAATGATACCTCTAAGCATAGTCCTCCTGCCACTGTGCTCTCCCTAATCCACTGGCTCCACAGCAGACCTTGTCTGGACAGGCCAGTCATACAATAAAATAATATTTTATGCTTATGTAAAACCTTTCAGCTGAAGTGTTTTGCAAACACTCTCTACCAATATCCCTGGATGACAAGTAGATTCAACTCTTTGCATGTGAAAAGTCTCGACAAGTTGGGAAGAGCAGTACAGCCTCTACCAAGCGGTTACCTATAAAAACCAGGCAAGAAATATTAAAAAACACAACCATTGATCTCCCCTCTCCCTGTCAATGATTCATATCTGTGAGCTTTGAATTGGAGGGATTAGCAGTTAGCCCTATTGATTTGACTGCCAGCCCTTTTCTAACAGGGCTGCAATTGCTGGCATACAGACTAGTCTGGTAGTTAGAGTATGAAGGCATGAGTTTTGGCTTCTAGTCTCCCTTCTGAAACTGATGTGCTGTGTGACTTGGGTCAGTCATGTTGCTTCTCCATCTGTTACTTTATATGTAAAACAAGGATATATTTAATATTTTATTTGCTTTAAAGCAATGGTAAGTATCTTTATTTTCAGAAAAAGAACAAAATGAAATGAAGTACTGTTATATATTCACTTCTAATCTGTGTAAAACTACTGCTTTGTGTTGGCAAGTTTACAATGTAAAAAATGTATTTTGCTGATAAAGTAGATGATTTTAGCTTTGCCTTCTGAAGTATGCTTTATCTACTTAAACTACACAGATTCTGGGTAATGTCACTGAAATCTAGATCTGGTGTTCTGGCCACAAAAGGGCTCTCCTTTTTCAATCAATGTAACCGCCATCCTTTGAGAATGCAGCGCCACTTGATTTGTACTGACTTTAGCCAATTCTTTTGCTTGGTGTGAGAACAAAAGCCATCAGTTGCAATGTACAGAACTTTGCATTTATATTACAAAAAATATGTATGCAATTTCTTGAATGAAGCAATTTGATGGAAAAGGAAATATTTAACATTCAAAGAGTTACCCACCAGCACTCCTATTTTGGGGAAGAAAATGTACCTATCTAAAATTCTGCCAAATATCCTCTTCATAAATTTATGTCATGTATACACAACCAAAAGTGAAAATAACTGCAATCACAGAAAGAAAAAGTAAGATTGCTGGTGGGTTTTAAGTGTGTTATTGCAGAGCAAAACTGTAGGTCGTTTTAGACTATCTTGACTTGTGTGCAGCTGTATTGTACGTTGTAAGTATTGTCCTTCTTATAATCAGTCTTTATTTAACAGTGTCTCCACCTGCCTGCTGCTTTACAGCATGCACTTAGTTTGAAGTAGCAATAGCTTGTGCAGAGGTATCTGGATCATTTGCAGCAGAAACCAAATTGTTCCAATGCCCTCTATTAACAGGGTTGATCCGCTGTCTGTAAAAGGGGAGGAAAAAACAAGTAGACTCAAATTATTGACTGTATTAATCTTTCTTTAGTCTAAGCTTGCGTTGATAAAAATGAAGTTATTACAAGCTTGACTGTTAACTAGAGAGTGAACAGCTACAAGAGCGTGAAAGCTGGATTCTCTTACATCATCTCAAGATGTGTTAGCGAACTCTAGTTGCAGCAACACAAAATGCTGCCCTCAATTACATCTTTGCAACCCCAGCACAGACAACAGTCAAACAACTCTTAGAGATCAAGAGAGGAAAACGTAAACAAACCTTAACAGAACTATGATAGACCTTTATTCCGTCCTACAACAGAACCTTGCTAATCCTCACTCCAAAGCAGAGAACTACTGCAGTGAGGTCTCATAACTAATAATACCTCCCTATGGTGGGGCAGATCCTCACCCTGCTCAGGAAGGGTTAAAAAGCTCCTCTGGGCATAATCAGCCTCAACCTGGTACACCTGTGAGGGTTGTCAAGCCTGCAAAGGGGTGAATCTTAAAAAGGAGGATCCAAACCCAGACTGTGGTTGCCACTGAAGTGACTAAAGCTTGATCAGGGAGCTCCCTAACCCCCCTACCATGCAGGTACTGTTTATCAGGAAAGGTGTTGAAGTGCCTCTTCTGTCTGGTCCCCTCTAAAGAAGTAGAGGGGCCATATTTGCTTAGGTTTTCTTTTAAGAGCTCAGGGCCCTCGGACTAGGTCCTTTGGCCATATAAGAAGTTAAGAGCCTAGTCCTCTCCACAGAGCCTACTGACCTTTTGGAGCTACAGGGTGAGCCCAGACTGTTTTGTGAGCTGCAGGACTATTTGGTTTGCTTTTTTCATTTGGACTGCATTAAGCCCCCTGGAAGGGTGCATCCTTCCTAAAACGGATAGCGGGAGGGCAACGCCCCGAATTCCAAACCAGCTCTGCAGCAACATCCATAGCCAGGGAAGGACATATGGGGCAACAGAGGCACCAACCATCACCCTCAGGGGGTGCCCTAGTTGTACAACATACCAGGCTAGCTCTTAATGCTTTTCAATCGCAGCTCTCAAAGCACTTGACAAAGGAGGTAAGCTTTATTATCCCTGTTTTAAAAGGAGGAAATTGAGGCACGGGGTGGTGAAATGACTTGTTTGAGGTCACCCAGCAATCCAGCAACAGGGGTGGGACTAGAACCCAGATGCGTAACTGAAGCAATGATTAATTAAGTGACTTTGCCAAAATTTGTGGCAGAACAGGGAATTGAACCCAGTTCTCCGAAGTCCAGGCTCCAGCCTTCATCTCTTCCTTCCCAGGAGGCAGGAGTTGGGCCCTCACTTAACAATCTTCAAGAGTCAGTAATTTATACGGGGTCTTGCATTCACTGGTGAGAATTAGTGAGGTTCTACCACATACCAGTGTAACATTACTAACTTCATGCTACCCATAGTACATTTCACTTACAGTAAGTATGCATCCTGTTCCAGATTACTCAGATAACGGTGTGTTTCACACTGGTAAAGTGACCGGTATCTAGTATTCCACTTGCACTTTTCTTGTTTTGTGATGTCATAGCGACCAACACCAACTGGGTTCTGAAAAAAGGAAGTCAGACATGGTTCTGCATCGTTAAAGGTGCAATTATACATGTGCCAGTGACGTTCTGCCCGTGACTACAGTGGCAACAGGATCGGGGCCTCAGTTTGAAAACAAGAATCTGGAATATTTAACAGCAATCACCACCACCACCTCTTGTACGTGAGAATGGAGGAATTAGGGCCGGATCCTTCCATTTGGGTTCAGAGTCTATACAACAACCATCATAATCAGATCCTACAGTTCCAATTTCCCTGAAGATGTTGGGCACCATTCCCTTGAAATGTGATTTCCCCAACAGCCTAGAACTAGCTCTAGTCAAGTTATAGCAATGTTACCCCTGTAATTTAATCTGTGGAGTTCCTGTATCAATTACAAAGCAGTCTTCATTCTTGATCTTTTTCAAATTGCCTGTTGCCTACTCTTCTGCATAAAGGCAGGAAACTGCAAGGGAGTCTGCTCCTCATCCCTCACCATAGGGACTACTTCACATTAAAGCTTTTCCTGGCTTCTTTGAGCCCTTCAGGCTTTGTTCTACTTCACTAAGGGAAACTTGAGAAGATTATTACTACAGATGATATAAGAAAGGGCATTAAGGGAAGGAGCAGTTACCAGCACCATCCCTTCAGCACTCTGCTGCTAAAAGAAATTCTGTTTTTTCAATAATAGAAATGTGACTTTATGAGTGTATATGTTGCCCTGCCCCCTAAAGGATTAAAATGTGCAGCGTAACTTAGAACATTCCTGAAATACAATCACTTGGCTGGAGAGCAGTAACCACTTGATACACGGCATAACTGATGAGGGAGGAGAAGGGTGTCCCGGGAATTTTGGCTAAGGAGGCAGAGCTAAACCGCTTTCTCTTATAAAAAGTACCGCAGAGTCTCTACTGTCCATTCCAGCAATGTTGTTTCCAGTGCTGTTGTAGCTGTGTTGGTCCCAGAATATGAGAGAGACAAGGTGGGTGAAGTAATAGCTTTTATTGAACCTGCTTTTTAGCTTCACAGAGCTCTTCAGCTCTGAAGAAGAGGCTTGTGTAGCTCGAAAGCTTGTCTGTGTCTCTGAAACCTGTTTATGGACAAAGCTGTAGAGCAGCATTCTTTGGGTTCGAAGGATTTGGACCTCCAGTGGAAAGATCAGTAAAGGGCGTGAGTGTGACATGGAAGAAGCAGACAGCATGAACATTTTCATGCACCTACATCTATTCCTACCATAGATTTTTCCACTCACCGTGTTTCCAATAAAGAGGCGATATGCTTTCCTGTCAACCCTTTTTGCAGATGACCAAAATGGAGGTTGATTGAAGTATTCCGATCGCTCCACGGGTTTTGGATCATGTGAGCCTGGCCCTACAGCATACTACAACAAAGTGACAACCGGTAAATCATTGATGTACTTATATAGGTACCTAACTCGTGCTTAAAGTTAGGCACCTGCTTAAGTATCTTGCTGAATTGGGGCCTCAGTTAATTCTGTTGTATTCTGGTAGCCACAGCACTGAGAGGCTGCTTCATGAGAAGTATTAAATGCAGGAAACAGTCATTGCTGTTCCGCAGTGGTGGGAATAAGTACACCAGAAACATGAAAGACAAAACGAGCAGCATGCTGGAAATGAGACTCTCGCTTGTGCTAAGCCTCCAACCTGCTATTTGCAGTTGGAATTCAATAGAGTGACCCACCACTCATTTGTTAACAACTGTGGTGTAGATATCCACCTTTACTGATACGCAACATCCTGTCATACAGGCATGGTATGGGCCTGACCCTTCTGTTCCCATTGAATTCAGAGGGAGCTTTGCAATGCAGCCTGAATCTGAAACAGGATTATGCAAAAAACCTCCTTTGTTTGCCAAAAGCTGGGAATGGGTGACGGGATGGATCACTTGATGATTACTTGGTCTGCTCATTCCCTCTGAAGCTCCTGGCATTGGTGACTGTCAGAAAACAGGATACTGGGCTAGATGGACCTTTGGTCTGACCCAGTATGGCCTTTCTTATGTATATTCTTATGTTCTCCTTACTTCATCCAATTTATTCCCCATGTGAATTGAATTCAGAATTATATTTGCTGATGTTTATGGCTGTCAAATTGTTAACTACTCTTTAATCCTTTTAGCCCTGAAGACCCAACACAGCTGAGAGACAGTGATCTGAATTCTAATCCTTCTCTTGAACGAACAAAACCGTTAGCTAAAGTCCAGTGATAGATCTTTATTGTTGATGATATATGAAGAAGAAAGAACCCAGTTCGACCTTCAGGTCCCAGAGTGAGTTTGCAATGTGAGTGGTTAGATAAACTATCTTTTCACTTATAATCTGAGCACATTTGATCTGGAATCACTGGGCGCCTCTAACCATTGAACCCCATGATGTTACTTTTAATTCCTATGCTGCAAGCACTTAAGCATGTGCATAACTTTAAGCACATGCTTAAATCCCATGAAAAGCGTATGTTTAAAGTTATGCATGTTGTATTGTGCTTTGCTGACTGGGTTGGGATTACTCAAAATTCATCTTAAAGCTGCTGAATCGGGGCCGTAAGTAGTTACCTGAGCAACATGAGAGCACATTGCAAGATGCTATCAGCCGGAACCATAAAAATGCCAATTGTAATGACAAGAGCTAAATTTTCAAATAACTTGTGATAAAAATAATAGATGCTAAGAAGCACTTCTTTCAAAATGCGTGGCTGAGCAAATGGATGCCGTCATTTTAATTTAGCTCCAAGAGCCCCAGCGGGGTTGGCTACCAGTGCACGTAGAGGGGTGCTATGTTCTGCCAGATGCCTGCTGCTGCCCGAGGAGTTTACTTGTAGCCAGGCAACACACAACCCGGAGAGGCTTATTGCTCTCCAAGTGTGGTTATTGTTACTGTACTACCTGTTAATTCCAAATTTTACTCAAAAAAATATTAGGGGGGTTATGCAATGAGTCCTTCCACAATGAACCATAGCTGGTTGTCGGAGGAGGAGGGAATGTAAAGGGCTGACTCACCTTTCCAGGGCTCCTTTGGCTATTTTGTTATTCTTTCATTGTCTTCTAATGTACCCACACCTCCAGGTTTCCCCTTTATTTCCCCCCCCCTTTTCCCTGCCACCCCAACTAGCCCTAGTGCTCTCTTTCATGGGATAATGGCCACATCACGCTCACCCCACCCTGGGTAATAACTCACCTGGGAGCTATTTTACAACCCCATTTATTTTTTTAAACTAGTGTAAAGTTTCCAGAGGTTGCAGATTGAGGTTGAAAGGCAGCCAGGCTCGTGTGTGCAGACAGGGAGGCCTTTGAATGCCTCCAGGTGTTTTCCCCACAGCTGCCTCCGCAGCCCCTGGGCTCCTTTAAAATTGCCATGTTAGTTTAAGTACTCAGTTGGGAGCCTTAAAACTGGCTTCCAACTCAAAGAGCTGAGAGGAGTCGGCATGAGAGAAGGGGGAGGAATAAAGGTTTCAGCTGCCTTTGTTAATAATAATTGAGAAGTAGAAGGGAAAGATCATGAGGCTACTCATTTCCTCCCGCTCCAGCCCATCATGGGCACAGAGATTTCCCTGGTGCTTTTGGTGATGAGCTATCAGCTGGGCAATGGTGCATGGCTGTGACCCCACAAGAGGAAAGGCCAATCAGACCATGGCTTTGGACAGCTCTGCCCCATCCCTCCTCATGGCAAATTTTGACTGCACGGAGAATCCTCTGCAGGTGACCAGGAAAGGGAAGCCCTGGCAATGGCTGACCATCCTTTTATGTGAGAGCTCTGCAGTCCAATCCAGCACAATCACCCCTTGTCCCAATCCAGACAGGTTGCTCTTCAGCTGCACATTTCACCTGGGGTTGTCCCAGTCCTAGGGTCCAGGTGGTTTTCCCGCCTTCCCCTTTAGCCTCACAGTCTCTCTCAGTGCCATGTGGTGTATTTGCAGCAGATGGCGTCCTGCACAGTAACATGTGCAGCAGAGACAGGAGAGGAAAGGAACATGGTGTCACTGACCGTGGCGCGTGGACACTGGCTGAGTGTGGTCCAGAAGATCCGCTCCGTGGGGCAGCCGGGGTTCCGAGCGAGGGTGCTGAAAACACCATTTTTCTTTCTGTCCTTGGTGTCCAGCTCTTCCACAAAGCTCTTGACGTTGCTGGGGCCGAGCTCGATGCATGTCTTCTAAAGAGATGAAAGAGAGGAAGGGACGTCTGCTGCTGCTGGAGAAAATGTGACGTAGTTGTCTAGCAAGGCCCTGCTGGTGCCAGCCACAGGGGCTCTCCTGTATCTCTGTGCTCACGGGTCCAATCCAGCCCCCAGGTGAAGCCTGGCAGGGAGAGACCATGGACTTCAGTGGAGCTGGATAAGGTCCATAGACCCTCATTCAGAGTCCACTGACTACTTGATTCCCTTGTCACTGACATCGATCACATCCTCCTTCCTCCCTGCACAATCTCTGCCCCACCCTGGGCTCTCTAGGGCAGATATCTTTCCAGAGTGTAACAAATGTACTCCACTGCCTTCCGCACCCCAGCAGGTGAGAGGTATCCCCCAAGCTGCCAGGCAGGAAGGCAACTTCCAAACAGAGGTTCTTAAAGGAATACCTCCTCAGAATCCATCCGGAACAAGGCAAAAAGACTGCTCATAGACACCCTTGTTCATTTTAGGTCTCTGGTTTGAATCCAGTCCCAGGCCAGTAGGGAGAGGAAGCCGTGAGTCCTTTTCATTGTCCCTACCAAATGAAGGGCAAACAGCAAGCAAACTAAGGCTTTGTCTATGCTACCACTTTTGTCGGTCGGGGTGTGAAAAAAACATACACACCCCTTACCAACATGTGTTTCACCGACAAAAGCGCTGGTGTGGCCAGCACTATGTCGGTAGGAGAGGCTCTCCTGACAACCTAGCTACCACCGCTTGTTGGGGGCGGTTTAGTTACGCCAGCAGGAGAGCTGTCTCCCACTGGCAAAGAGCGGCTACACGGGAGACCTTACGGCGGCACAGCTGCAGCTATACCGCTGTGCCGCTGCAAGCTCCGTAGTGTAGACACAGCCTAGGTCGCAAAAAGGAAATTCATTTTTTAGGGCTAGATTTTCATATAAATTGTAGCCTCACTGATTTCAAAGGAGTTGTGCTGCTTTACCCCTGCCGTGGATCTGGCCCTCAGTTTTAATAATCTAAGTTGTCAATAATAGCGGCAAGGATGGGTTTTAAAACTATGCTCTCTAACCTGACAGCACCCCTCTCCTGGCAGCACTCTGAGAGATGTCACACCCGCAGGACGAGTTCCTACGTTATTAATCAAGGCAAGGGTGTTTTACTAAAACCTCAACTCTTACAAGGGTACGTACTTCCACAGCGTAATGTCCACAGATAATAGGCTTTGACCTGTCTCCTGTGAAGGTGTCATATGGGCCGCGAATACTGACCACACGTTTCAACATCTCATCTGTACTGTTTTTAAGATTGTAGGTGGCTGGCCCCAAACCACTTCCCTAAAGTCAACGGGGAGCAAAAGCAACCATTAGTGAACGCTCTGTTAGGGAGCAGAGTCCTGGGTCGTGCTCAATTGGAAGCCGGACGAAGTGAGCTGTGGCTCACGAAAGCTCATGCTCAAATAAATTGGTTAGTCTCTAAGGTGCCACAAGTACTCCTTTTCTTCTAACTACGGGTTAGTTGCTAGACAGTTACAGCATTGCTGTTATATATTACAGTAGCACCCAGTGGCCCTCACTGAGATCAGGACCCCATTGTGCTTAGTGCTGTACAAATACCTAGTGAGAGGCAGACCCTGCCCCAAAGAGCCATGTCCTGTGCTCTGCCCATGACTTTTCCCTCTCACCCATGCTGCTCACTCTTGAGTGGTCAAATAATAAACGAGTAGCCGCCTGTTTGTTTCAATCATCCATTACAAATTGCTCTCTGTACCCTCAACTAAAAGCTTCACCATCAGAATGCAAAGGGTGGTCCCTCAGCATGGCAGCCTTTAAACTAAGTGGCTTGGACCATCCCCTTTGCTTAGTCTCCACTGCGCATGGCATGGAGGTGGAACACCCCTAAGAGACCCAGAATGGGGACAGTGCCATCTCCATGGGATCCTGCATGTGCACCTCTGAGAGTGGGAAAGTGAACAGCAGGGGAAGCAGCCATTCTCTGTGGCACCATCCCCTGCACCATCCCACTGGCTCTGGGCAGTAATCTAGACGAGTTCATGCTCCACTGAAGCTTGAGGCCGGCTGCAAGATCTCCTGTGGATTCCCCCACTGAGCAGCTGTGGTAGGCTCCACCAATGGCAGCACAGCCCCTGAAGGGCCAGTACCACCAGAGGGAGCCGTGGAGCAGCCATTGATGCAGGTCGGCTCCAGCCTCTGGGGGCTCTCTCCTCTACAGATCCTGTGAGGCTGGGAAGCCTCCACCTCTTCAGATGAACCTCACCGACTTTTCTTTCCCTTTCGGAAGCTGCTTGACCCGCCTCCTTTCCCCCGTCCCCCCTGCAAGCTGGCTGCATCCTCTCTAGAGAGAACAGCAAATGCTGGTGCCTCCCTGAGCCTTCAGAGACACCTGAGGGCTCCTGATTGGCCAAGAGACGGAGACCATAACCACGCTGCTGTGGTCCACTGTAATGAACAAGGCAGCAAAATACCCTGAGAGGTCTGCTCCCACAGATCCCTCACTTTCATTCTTCCTGGTCACTCAAGCCCTGGGCAATGGCTGGTGTGCAAGTCAATAAGGGAGCTAAATGAAAAACAAATAGCGCAGACTTGCCGCAGCAGTAGGTAAGACAGATTTTTCGGTTTTGCTGTCCATTATCCCTTGAGAGTTTGCCGAGTGTCTCTCCTTCTCCTCAATCAGGGCATAAGGGTTTCCATTCTTGCCGTAAGTCCCAGGGCCAGGATGGCAATCCTGCAGAAAGAAGAGGGAGAGGATTAAGAACAAAAATGGATTTCTGCCAATAAAGAGCCAGATTCTGCCATTTCAAGCATATTAAAAGCAGTGACTCTTTGTAATTCAGTAGTGCCCAGAGGTCTTAACTGAGGCCTGATCTACACTGGGGGGGGATCAACCTAAGATTCATGAGAATAGCGTAGCTGAAGTCGACGTATCTTAGGTCGACTTACCTCGCGTCCTCACGGTGCGGGGTCGACTGCCGCCGCTCCCCTGGGGTGGAGTACAGGAGTCGACGGCAGAGCGATCAGGGATCGATTTATTGCATCTACACTAGATGCGATAAATCAATCCCTGATAGATCTTTCACTATCCGGCGGCTAGTGTAGACGTACCCTGAGATCTGGGCCCTCTGGAGCTAGGTAGTGCACAAACATCCAAAGCCTCAGTCTCTGCCCTGCAGACCTTCCTCTCCATTAGGCATTTCTCTGTGGAGACGTGCTGCCCCAGGGAGGCACTGTGCCTCATAGGAGCCTAGGGACTGCAATTGTCGGTGGTGATACTAACAATACCTAGCTTTTAGACAGCGCTTTGCATCAGGTGAGCGCAAAGCACTTCTCAGTCTTTAATGTCCTCAGCACACCCCGGTGAGGCAGGACAGGGCTGTCATCTGCATTGTACAGATGAGGAACAGAGGCACAAAAAAGCCTAGAGACTTGCCCAAGGGCTGTGGAGGACCAGGAAGTAGAACCTGGGTCTCCCAAGTCCTAGTACCCTGGACAATCCTCCTGCCATGGCCCCCAAGTGAAGGAATACAAGGAGAGGAAGGTTCCATGGGGGTGTTCCCCGGGCACACTATGCTCTAGATGACCTAAAGAGAATCCCAGTAAGGAATACCAAAGCTCCCCCTTTAGAGCAGATCAGACAGCAATTCCCTTGCCCTACCACATCCCCTCCATGCAAACTGGCTCCGTTTGGACCTGGAGGGCAGCTGTTCCCCAATTCTAGATTAGAGTCAAATCTCACTTGCCTCCAGGCCGTGAAGCCTACAGCACAGAATTAAGTTCTGGATCTTTATGATGCCTGTACAAATGCCACCCTCTTTGTATTTCTGGGGTGAATACAGCCCTTTACTCCTTTCCTATTGGAATCAATGAGGGTTATGGGTAAAACTCTAAAAAGAGAATTGGTTCTAAGTTCAGCCATTACCCAATACTTAGTCAGAATGTTTCATCCCTAGATTTCAAAGCCCTTTGCAAAGAGGATTATTCTTTTACAGGTGAGGAAACTGAGGCACAGAGCAGTGACACAACTTGTCCCAGGACAAAAAGTGAGTGTATGGCAGAGCCCAGAATAGAATCTCTGGGTGAAATCTTGGCCCCACTGAAGCCAATGGCAAAAGTCCCATTGATTTTTTAATGGAGCAGGATTTCACCCCCACATCTCCTCTTCACTCCCAATGCATTGGCTCAGACTGCCTCTCTACAGTTTGGCAGTTCTGGCCAGGTACAGATTGCTACATTCTGTATATGAAGGATAATCAAGTACAATCTTTGCATCTGTCCAAGCAAATAAAGGGAAATCTGGCCTCTTGGAAGGTTCTTGATTAAAAAAACCTGAAAAGATACTAAAGCGAATTAGATATGAAATCTCTAACTATGAAATTAGGAAGTCTGTGACTTCATTGGCCACCCCAATGCCTGGCCAGCACCAGCAGATCTGTTGCAAGTACAGTAAGCTGTGATTCATGCAAGCTCCCACTGCGCGTCACTGTTGATTCACACATACGACTGTAAAATCAGCAGTCATGTGGCTATGCAACGGATCCGAGTGTTAACACAACATTCTATGGCTGTGGTGAGGGCGACACAGGATATTTGACTGTTGTTCAGGCCCTATATAAAGGAGGAGTCATGTTCCACTAAAATGACACAGTTTTTAATTTCTTCTACCAGGCAGTGCAGGCGGTGGGATGGCAAAAGTGGCCAGCCTGAAGGGTTAGAAAGCGGCCAGTGCCTACCAGCATTCTGTCCCACATCCTGGTGGAACTAGAAGTCTTTATTAGGGAGTTCTGGGGCTAGTAGAATATTTGCAGAGCATTATTCTATAGAAAAGCTATTTTAAAAATTAACTATCACTATCCTGTGTATACTCTGGATTCACAGAGGATAGGACATATATGTAAATGTGTATGCCCCATGTACATTAACACACTGATACTGCATATCGATTCAATATTTAGGTAGTAAGATGGTGCGCATTAGAGAAATATCTACGATAGACACTGATTGGATAGCCTGCAGTATATACACACAAGCATATGGGCTCAATCCCAGAACTATACCTTACACAGAACTCCCCAGTGAAATCAGTGTAGGTCCCACATAAATAGGGCACCTAAATAATGTGAAATAGAAAACACTGAT